AGGATAAGATATTGATATTTATGTATTCCGTTTTTTTACAATTTCCTATTTTCCTAGATTCATACTTCATACATTCCATGCTCCAGTTGTTTCTGGTCATTTTGAGTAGTGCATCATTGGCATAAGAAGGTCTCAAAAGCTTTATTCCATTGGTGTCATCATGGTTACCTCCACTCTGAGGAGGCAGCCCTGAGGCGCTCATCTTCCAGCACTGTATCTGGCACTGTCGCTGTTATTCATAAGGTTTTCAGTGGCTAAACATGCAAAAATCATCTGCCTTTCCTTCTATCTAGTTTGCCATGGTCTGGAAGCTCCGCTGAAACCTGTCCTCCATGGGCAGCCTGGCTGGTATTTAAAATACCCATGGCATGGCTTCCTGCATCACAGTAACACACAAGCCGCCCCAGTGGGACACACTGACATGGTGATGGGTGTAGGATCTGTTGATATTTTAATAGTGAGTTTTCTGACTCATGAATAAGGTATTCTCCATTTATTTTGATGAATGATGAAGTTTGAGAACCACTGACTTAGAATGAATTAAAGTAGTAAAAATTAGAAAAAACTTAAACATGCAATAATAAGGATATGGTTAAATTAATTAAAGAGGGTAAGTCAAAAGTATTGCTACAAAATCACAGACACTTTTTGCAGTTTAGTGCATTATTTCATGTCTCTTCTAGTCATAGTCTTTGTAAATTCCCACCAAATGATTTTTTCCAGATAGGTATGTATAAGAAGGTGGGGGAATATGCTGGGATCATATGATTCACTTGTGAGTGATTGTTAACAGGACTGTGATTATAAACACTTGGAACTCTAGTGAGAAGACTCAGTGTTATGATCCTGTTGGGTTTAAAATGAGCCATCTCAGAAGCAGGAGGAGGGATCACTACCATTGAAGAAGAGCCTAGATCCTGGCACACTGAACGTCCTCAACCCAAGGACAGAAAGTGGTGATACCAGTGGAGTGACAAGAGGAGTAGCAGCGCAGCAGCAGAACTGGGATTCCAGTCGCAATACTTGTTTATTTACTCTGGTATTGTATCAACTCAGCGGATATAAGTGTACAAAGATTATCTGGTGATAAACTGATTACAAAAAACCCTGTATCATACTATTATTATTTGTTGTTAAGTGCCGTTGAGTTGGTTCTGAACCATAGTGACCCTGTATAGGGTTTTCAAGGAGCAGCTGGTGAACTTGAACTGTCGACCTTGTGGTTCAAACCAACTTTGCAGTCCAGTGCATTAACCCACAGTGTCACACTAGACTCCACTATATACATATACGGTGTAAAAGATCAGGAGCCCTGGTGGCATTGGGCTGCTAACTGCAAAACTGGCAATTCAAAACCATCATCTGCTCTGTGGGAAGAAGATGAGGCTGTCCATGTAAAGATTAGTCTTGGACACTCTGTATAGAGTTGCTAAGGGTCAGAATTGACTCCAAAGCAGAGTTTTATGTAAAACATGCATATTAAAATGCTGGGAAAGAATAGACTATTATACCTCTCCCTAGGACCAAATCGAATTCCAAGGTTTGCTTTTGCAAGCTAAGAAATGTTTTTACATTTTTAAAGGTTAAACATATATATATATATGTATATTTTACAGAGATTGTACCAGTATATGGCCTGCAAATTCTAAAACAAATACTATCTGGTCATTTACAAAAAAGTTTGCTTACTCTTGTTTTATAGATGATAGGATTTTAGGTGATTCTTGTATTTTCCAAACTTTCTAAAATAGACATGTATTTACTTTTATACTAGGAAAAAAACCACAAACCCTTGCAAATCATAATTGTTATGTTCAGAAGGGAGAATTATTTTTTTTCCCACTGATAAAGCAACTGAAGGCTATAAGGTGTCTTCCAAGATTCTGAAAGTATGTCCAGTGATGGAGAAGGCAGACAAGGTCCCTGTTCTCATAAACCAAGGAGGGTGAGAGAGACAATAAATGAGTAAATAAATGAGAGTAGCAGAAAGTGCACAATCTTAATCTCATCAGAAGGAACAATCACAAATGTAAATTTAGGAGTATCCTGCAAAATAAGTAGCCTGTGCTCTTTAAAAGTGATGTCACAGAAACAAAAAGGCAAAAGAACTGTTTTAGATTAAAGGAGACTATAAGAGACATGGAGTCCTGGTGTGGAGCTGTGGGTTAATGCGCCAAACTGCAAAGCCATTTGAAGTGCAAGGTCAGTGGTTCAAGCTCACCAGTCGCTCCTTGGAAACCCTATACAGGGTTGCTATGGGTTGGAACTGACTCAACAGCACTAAACAACAACAATAAGAGACATAGACTGGATACCAGATCGATGGAAAATGTTATTAAAGATAATACTGGGATGACTGGTGAAGCACTATGTATTAAATAAAAGAGAATACTCTTTTATCAGTGCTAAATTTCCTCATTATGATAAATAGAAGAGCATGCCCTTGTTCATACATGTTGAAACACTCAAAAGTAAAGAATCATGATATCTGAAATGTATTCTCAAATGGTTCAAGGGAAAAAAAAAAAACCCAAGTGTGTATGTAAACGTGTGGAACGGAGAGAATGCACAGTCAATGATACAGCAAATCTGGAGATGTTAACAGTTTGCAAATCTAGTTGAAGGCTAAACCTGAGTTCATTTTTGAAATGTTCCTGTAAGTTTGAAAAATTTTTTCCAAAATAAAATATTAAATGTTAAATAAGTACATTTTAAAAAACGAAGAAGAAGAACATATACTAAGTATCTGGACTTTCAGTGTAAAGAGCCACATTCCCAGCCTTCCCACAGATGTACCTTTTGGTACCACACCCAGATGCACATCAACCAAACTAATTTCCCTATCAGTATCCTATGAGTTGTGGACATTGTCAAATGTGATGGGAGGCAGCCACTTCCCTTCCCTCTAATTTCTCTTTTTAATTTAAACAATAGATGGACCACAGAGGTCATACAGGCTGATCATTATGCTTAAGAAAAACCCTTTCATAGAAATGATAGCCTTATGTTTCCTTTTAAATCTATAGGCTACTAGGTTAAATCTTATTTCACCAAACATCCTTTTGAGGGTTTCTTCTTCATGGAAAGGAATGGAGCCAACAGGTATGACCATCACTCACATCCTTCTCTCTATTCCAAGACAGTATGTCAAGGTTGATTATTTTTTTAAATAGAGTTAAAATTTATACACCATAAAATTCACCCTTTTAAAGCATATTCACAAGACAGTGCAACCATCATCACTGTCTAATTCCAGAACATTTTCATCACCCCAAAAAGACCTCCTCCTAGTTCATGGCACCTACACACGTTCTGTCTCTGTTAATTTCCTGTTCTGGATATTTTATATAAACAAATTATAATAAACTCTTGAACCATGTGGAGGTTAGGGGTGCTGACCTCCCCCATACTTGAACAACATGGGTTTGAACTGCATGGGCCCACTTATACGCCACTATTTCCCTGTTGCTACGATGATGAGCTCACTGTTTTAAGCTGTACTCAAGTGTTGTGAGTACAAGTTAAAATGGTGAGTGATGCTGATCATCTCTGAGTAGATCGTAGGTCAGTGTAGAACTGGAACTGCACATTTTAAACCTCCAATGTTCAAAGATCAACTGTAAGAAGGGGTGGGCTTCAGAAAGTTGGTGGACTGTCTTCTAAGTCAATTTTTTCACTGTTTGAAGCCACCTTGTATATGATGATAATAAAAAAGTTGCAAAGAATGGTTTTAGGACCCCAAAAAAAGTCTACTGGAAGAAAACACAACATATACAGCAAAGCCAGGTGTCTACGGTACGAGAAGAAAATATATTGTAAATAATGAACATTCTCAGTTAATTATTTTATAAGGAAATGTCAAAAGTTCTATCTCCTTTGCCCATCAGAAGAAACATGTGAGTGGGAGAAACACCTGTCTATATACTTAGATTCCACGGGAAGTTGGCTGACATTTGGTCTTTCCTTTCCTTTTTTGTTCCAGCTGATTTGAAAAATACACTAACACATTGAAAGGAGGCAGTTACATAGAATGTATGAAAAAATACAATAAAAAATATGAATCTTTTACTGGATTGGCACCTGATAGTTGAGGAACCAGATTAAAAAAGTGACAGAAAAGTCTTGCTGTCCTGAGAACCACTTGACTTTTCTAGATACTTATGCAAAACCATATGGTTTAAAGCTTGAGTACTATCTAATTCTTTTATCGCCAAGTTCACAGAAAATACTCAACTGTGTCCAACATGTACTATAAAAAATTATACTCATCCTACTTTTGTGATTAACTATTGGGATCTTAAAAGCTCATGAGTGGCCGTCTAAGTACAACTATTGGTCTCTCCCTGTGTGAAGGAAAGAGTGATGAAAAATGAAGATGCTTGGAATCAATTACTCCAATGGACCAATGGAACATGTGACTATCAGTCTCAACGACTGATCCTGAGAACAGGAGAATTAGATGGTGCCTGGCTCCCACTACCAACTGCTCTGAAATGGATCACATTGGAAGGTCCTGGATAGAGTGGGAGAAAATGTGCAACAAAAATAGATTAGGTTTACTGGTCAGAAAGAGATTAGAGGAACCAGAGACTGTGGTCATTGAACATCCTTCAAGTCTGGAATGGAACTCACCCTCGTGGCTCAATTTCTAGTCAAGTATTAGATAGTATAAAAAGGGACGACCAAACTAGTGAGGTAAGCACACCACAGGATGGTCAGTCATTCAAGATCCAAAGGGCAGCATTTCACTAATAACAAAATTCAGAGGGGTTGGGAGAGAAGGAAAGAAGAGAAACAAGAATCACAGGAAGGGAGAGGGTAAGTGATGTTAACACGGAGGGGAATGCAATGATTGAAATGAAACAAAGTATATGATTTGTTGAATGTAAAACTGATGATTTCTCTTCTGTAAACCTTCACTCAATTGCAATTAAAAAGCTTGCAAAGAAATTATATTACTTCTAAAACTTAAAAGTCAAATCAATCTCCAAACAACATACCGGATCAGTGTGTTCCCAATTTGGTGTCGTATTTCATTCCACTCCTCTTTGCTTTTTCGGGGCCATGAATTCAGGTTTAGTTCTGGTTCACTGGGTCTGTGGTTCAACTTCATTGCCAGTGTATCTTTCCTTTTCACTTTATTGGCCAGAGCACCTTTGCAGAAGGAGAGAACAAAAATGTAGCAGCTTGAGGCTTGAAGTCAAAGGTTTAACCTCGCTTGGAGCCAGACTAGAGTCTGAATAAACCTAACATAACTTCCCAACATTGTACTTGGCCTCAAAGGATACACTAAAACATTGGTGAGAGGTAAGCTGAAGATATCTAAAAACCTGTTGAAGCAGATTCTCAGATGGGCAAACACTATCTTCTCTCTTACCTGTTCTCTGTTTGTTTCCCTTAGAATTGCTAAAGGAGAAATCATCTATGCACAGGATATCTCTTTGAAATATAATAATGTTTATTTGGCACTAAAACACCTCATAATATACCTGCCTTTAAAGGTGCCTTCCTATAGTTAGAAATCAGGACTCTTGTATTCAGAAAGATTTGTGTGTATGAGCATTTTTTTTTCCTTTTGCCTCATGAATATAAGTCATTAGACTGAAAGAAAACATCACTTTTGTTTTTCAACATAACCCCTTTGCCAGCTTTCCTCTACTGCATATTTTTTAATACCATCAAGGTGAATAGTTTTTAATCTAGAAGAAGCAATCTATTTGACTGTCTCTCATTGACAAGGTATAACAGTAAGATGACAGTAGGGTCAAGTCCTTCACAGTGGCTTCTAAAACCAGCCAATCAGATAACTCAATGGGAGAGGGTACCTGTTTCCATTCATCTTAAGCTTGCTGAGACCAGCAAATAGCTTTATCTGTAAAAGAACTTTCTCTTTTGCTTTTCCCTCCCTTTCTTACTGTTTTGGCTTTCATCTTCGTCCTCTTCATCTCGGTACCGAATGGGACCCTCTGAATCAGAGTCACTCTCCTTCTCTTCCTCCTGCAAACACTGTGGTAGTTCAGGAGTGACTGAGGTAGGTGCCAGCTCTTCACTGAATGTAGGTGGGTGGGTGTGCTCCTCCTCTTCTTCATCGTCTGGACTAACAAATTAACATAATTATACTTTCCTTTCAGAAACAAAGAGTATAACTTGATTCTAAAGGCAAATAACTAAAGAAGAACTATGGAAAACTTCATGAATAAAATAATTTATAATTCTCTCCTTTAACTTGAATAATTTTTAATGCAACTATTAATTTAAAGAGCTATCCCTTGATGAGTACATTTGAGAAACAAGTTTGTTTTGCTTGCATAAATGAGAAGATTGTACAGCAATTAGCACTGTATCTAGGTCATGAAAGAGACTGAAATAATATACTTAATCTATTTTCCTTTGGTTTAACAGTGGACTGGGACAAAATGATAACATAATTTGGGAGCATGGTGGCTCTGTCGATAAGCACTGGATTGCAAGTCATGAGGTTAGTGATTCAAGCTTACCAACCACTCCACAGGAGAAAGATGAAGCTCTCTGCTCCCATAAAGGTTTATAGCTTTGGAAATCCTATTTGAGGTCACTATGAGTTGACAGCACTTGACAACAACAATAATTCAGGGAGTACAGAGAAGTAAAGATGAAAACTAATGTTCCTCTTTACATTCCAGAGTAAAAGACTACAATCTAGGGTCTAGTTCTAACTTCAAAAATGTCAAAGATAACAGCAACGAAGCAGTGAGCTAAGCCCTACAACGTTCAATAGACTCCTGTGAATGCTGGTGGAGACCTGGTTGGCCAGCAGTGTGGCAAGACCTGGGGACCCTTGGGCCCAGAGTCAGTGACATAGCCACAGAGGACTAGAGTGGAGAGTGAAGCGTCCAGCTGATAAGAAGAGAGGGCATATGCACAAGAACACCCACACTTGCAGATAATACCCACTTGACCTGGCTTCAATGACTTGGGTGATCAGAGCTCAACTAGAAGAAGAAAGAAGAGGAAAAAAAGAGTAATCTGATACAATTTGATTAACTTGACCTACACCTATGGATGCAGTAGCTCAAAAGAGGGAACAAATCTTTACATCAAGGATCATTCCCAGCCCCTCCATACACAGAGTAGACAGAGATGGGCATCTTGGACATTGGCTACCCAAAATGGGGGTGGGAAGGCTATAAAGGCAAGAAGTTACTGGCTTACAAGCTTTGAAGAGGGAACCTAGATCCAGAGGGTGTGGAGGAAGGTAGAATCTCCACTGAGTAGTTCCCAATCTGTCTAGGCGGAACTGATGAAAGGAAATGCAGATAGGGCTCTTGTGATACAATAGTGAATAATTGTTATGAGGACTGATTGTGAGGGTTGGAAATGCAAAGGTAGACATTTTATAGCAAGGAGGGGAGTGATTAACTTTTCAGTCTAAGAGCGGAGGTCCCTGGGACCATCAATGGAGAAGAGCCAAGAGTGGGACCCTTACTAGAGAAGCAGTAATGCCTGAGATGGAGGCAGAGATGATGATGTGGAGAGATGAAGCAGCTGGGGACTTTAGATCCAGAGAGGGACAGGGGCTGTGTGCTGACGACTGGGGTGCAGGCTTATAGTGTATACCCTTTGGTTGGCTGATGATGCATGGAGGGGATTATAACCATGGCAATGAAATGATATATGATAGAATGAATATAAAACTAATGTTCTCCCATGTAAACTATCACATAATTCACAATAAAACATTTAAACAAAACAAAACAAATGTCAAAGATGATGGCAAAACAAATATAGAACCCTGCAACAGTTATTTTTATAATTTTAGTCTCTTCAATCTATCAAAAAGTGTCAAGTTTAGTCATAATTTGTGTGAGTCATGAAAGGACAAAGTAAGCATAAGAATCAGTTTTGGTGTGAACAGTTTCAGTATTTAGGGCTGATGGAGGGAATAAGATCAGTTCCAGCTCAAGGCTAGAAAAAAGAAGTAACTTCTTTTTCTCTAGACTTCCCTTACTTCTTCTCTATCAAGCTTGTATGGCAGGCACTAATGCCTATGAGAGGAGTATAGTTCCCATTTACAAATAAGACAACTAAAGAGGAGAAAGTTAAGTAATTTAGACTAGTGCAAGCTACTAGGTAAGTTGTAAAGTTGGGATTTGAATCCAGGATTATTTTACTCTCAGGTGAATGTTTGTAAGCACCATATCACACTGTCTGTCTTGTAGCATATAAAACTTGTGGTTTTATTTTTCACATAAATATTTTTATGTCATCATGGAACTCTCTGCTATGGAAAAAATAATAGAAGAAAAAAAAAGTCAGATTCTAGAGGTCCCAGGGCAAGATGGCAGAGTAAGTATATTCACTGAACTGATCCTCTACAACAAAGTGAACCAGATACAGATGGTTATCCAGGAATCCTAAGCATCAGATAATGGGACAGACAGGTGGACTGAGTGCTGACTGGAAGAGGAAACTGATCTGGAGCAGTGAAAGAAGCAATTGGGCAGACTGTGGGTTGGCATGGAGTGGCACAGCCATCAGGAATAGGACAAGGCTAGCAATTCAGCAGCAACGGGGTACAATTCTCCTTTGTTCCTGGTACCCTCCCTAGTAGCTGGGGATGTGGACAATCTACCCTCACCAACCCAAAGGCCAGTGGCACCCCCTCTTGTACAGTCTCTGCTCTGAACTACACTACATAGAGAACTGCATTCACACTTCCAGTCTCTTATCACATCCACCAAAAGACATGTGGTGAGTGCCTGAGAATACACCAATATACAACAATCAATTGAATATAAACATGGCATCTCAATGTCTCAGAGAAAACAGATAATTTCAGATTACACAAAGAAACAAGGCAGAGTGCCTCAAACAAGTGACCAAAATACAGAGTCAGAAAATATAAAATCAGAAATGGTCCTGGAACTACCTGATAAAGAATTTAAAAGAATGCTAATTAAACAACTAATTGGATTGAGAGAATGATGGAGAAAACTACCAATAAAGTAAAGGAAAACAGAAAAACTATGGGAAAAAAGTCAGGAAACAAACTAAAAAAATAATTGAGAAAAATGGGAAACATAAAAAAACAGCAATTAGCAAGTAAGAAGATTAATGCTAAGACTTCGGGAATAGGTAATATGTTGAAAGGGCAAAGAAAAAGAATTGAATCAAGGGAAAGCCAAATTACTGAGCTTGAAGAAAAATTTCTTAATACTCATCAGCTAGAGGAACAATCAGAAGAAAACAAAAAAATCTCAAGAAAGTCTAAGATTTATGTGAGACACTATATCAAGAGAAGTAACTTACATGTGATAGGAATTCCAGAGCAGGAAGAGACAAAAACAACAACAACAAAAAAAAAACCATAGAAAATACTGTACAAGAGTTGTTGTTAGAAAACTTCTCTAACACCATGAAAAATGAGAAGACATTAAAGAAACTGAACAAACTCCAAACAGAACAGACTCTAAAAGAAAAACACTAAGGCATACTGTAATCAAACTTTTCAAAAACAAAAGACAAGGAAAAAATCCTGAGAGCAGCTCAGGAAAAATGTAAAGTTACCTACAAAGGAGACCTATTAAGACTAAGCTCTGATTTGTTAACAGAAACCATGCAGGAAAGATGACATATAAAAGATGGGGGATAAAATTGCCAACCAAGAATCTTATATCCAGCAAAGCTATCTATCAAATATAATGACGAAATCAGGTCATTTCAATCAGAAATTAAAAGAAATTGTAAAATCCAAACCAACCTTATTAAAAAATACTAAAGGGAGTTCTTTGGATAGAGAACCAACAATAGGAGACAACAACCAGTGACTAATACATAGGACAATATCACTTAGAAAAACAGATCTACAATAGACATCCAGAGATACAGTTGCAACAACAGCAACAAAGAAAAAAGAATAATGTAGTTACAGAACTTCCAAAGGAAGAGGAAAATAGTTTTTTTAAAAAAAGAAAGAAAGAAAAATCCTAATTGTAAAACTACACTATCCTAGCGTCTAGCCCAACCCTTACCCTTCACACTAACCCTAGTCTTAGCACTAAATCAAGTCCTAGGCCTAGCTTAGACCTAGCTATAGTCCCTACCTTAACCCTTACTCCTATCCATGCCCCACAAAAAAATCTAAATACTTTACATGTACTCACATTTTCTTTTTATAAGTACTGTTTTCCAAGGAGAGCTACCTAGAGTAAAGAATGGGGAAGCCAGAAGCACATTTTAAAGGTACTCACACTTTTAGCATTTCAATAGTGATGGGAAGTGACCTGGTCCGACCCAGGGTACTGTTGTCTTCAGAAAAGTTGTCACTGTTCTCAAAGAGCAATGAATGAGCTCTGTGAGAGCCCTCCAAGGGAGGCGTCATAGGCAGTGGGCTAGTCAGGGCCTGCTGGATTCGAATATGCAGTGGAAGTGAGGGCAGCCTAGGTGGTGCATGGGGCTCCCCAGAGCTATGCTCCAACATCCTCTTGTGTATTTCCTTTTTCTGATCTTCCTGCTGGGAAACCTCTTGGGGTAGTTCTACAGAAGGTGGAAACTCAATTTCTGGCACAACCTGAAAAGTCTTAGAGGGAATTTGAGGGGACTGTGGGGGATCTGGAGGCACATGAGTTGGCAGCGGGGGGGATGGAGAAGGAGGTGGAATCATCAGCAGTGGTATGGAGCCCACAGAGCATGTACTCTTCTCTCTTTGATCACTTGGTGGTTTTGTGATGGCAGTAGTAGCAACAGACTCTGAGGTGGGTACCAAGGTTGATGGAACTCCTCTCTTAGGTGGTAAGGGAGGGGATGGTTTTGATAATGTACCACTGTTTATTGCTTGGGACAGTTCAGCTGGAAGAGAGAGCAACATCTCAATTTAACATGACTTTACAATCTAGAACTTAATGAAATTCACACTTTGAATTAAAGTCCATCTTTCAGGTAAATTAAATAATTTCATGTTTCTGCCATTCCCAAGATTTCTCATCTTAAAACAAAATTTATTTATGTAGAAAACATGATGAATGGATAAGAGCATTAGAAGATTACCACCATAACACTCTAATGAGAATTAAAAAAAATTATTTGCTATGAAAATGTTGCTGTTATTAAGTGCCATACAGTAGGTTCTGACTCATAGTGATCCTCTATATGGTTTCTGAGGAGCAGCTAGTGGGTTTGAACTGACATTGTGGTTAGCAACCTAGTGCTTATCCTACAACGCCACACCAGGGCTCCTGGCATGACAACAGAAAAAACTCATCCCTAATTTTTCTGAGTTTATTCATATTAACTTTATCTATACCAAGATCAAGTCATAAATAATAGTCCGAGGCTTTCTGCTCCCATAAAGATTTATAGCCTTGGAAACCCAGTACAGGGTCACTACGAGTGGGAACCAACTCCACAGCGTATAACAACAAACAAATGACAATAAATATGACATTTATGACTTGATCTTGTTGTAGATAAAGCTAATATGAATACAGACAGAAAAATTAGGAATTTAAAGTTCTTTGTATAATGCTGTTGTTAGGTGTCATTGAGTCAGTACCGACTCATAACAACCTTATGCACAGCAGAAACACTATCGGATCCTGGGCCAATCTCACTATTGTTGCCATGCTTGAGTACATCGATGCTGCTACTTGGTCAGTCCATCTTCCTCTTTTTCTTTGACCCTCCACGTTACCAAACATGGTATCCTTCTCCAGCGACTGGTCCCTCCTGACAATATGTCTGAAGTAAGAGAGAAGAAGTTTGGCCATCCTGGCCTCCAAGGAGCACTCTGGCTGCACTTCTTCTAACACGGATCTGTTGGTTCTTTTGGCAGTCCATGGTACTTTCAATATTCTCTTCCAACACCATAACTCAAAAGCATCAATTCTTCTACGGTCTTCCTTATTTACTGTCCAGCTTTCACATGCATATGAGGTTATTGAAAATACCATGGCTTGGGTCAGGTGCATAATATTACTCCATAACAATTTGCAAACATGCAGACAGCAATAACAAAACAAACACTATTGGGCACTGTTATCATATTCTGGTAAAGAATGATATTTAGATACCTCTGCTCTGTATTGTGAAACTGTCCAGTAATGAAATCTTTGATGTATAGAAAAAACAAAGACTTTTGAAGAAATCAAAATGCTTTTCTATCACTGACTTCATATTCTCCTTATAACCACCTCAAGTGATTGTTGTTGTTAGGTGCCTGTTGAGTCAGTTCTGACTCACAGCAACCCTGTATAGGGTTTCTGAGGCTTTAAATCTTTGTGGGAACAGAAAGTCTCATCATTTTATTGCAGAGCAGTGGTAGGCTTGAACTGCCAGCCTTGTGGTTCATAGTCCAATGCTTACACTATGGAGCTACTGTGCTCCCCATCTGAGGTGACAGGGGAGATTAAAATCTTTACTATTTTACAAAAGAAAAAATTGAAGTCACAGAAATTGGATGACTTGTCCCCCTCATCTTTCAAACTGGAATGGACTCATCGCTAGCTCCTAGGTGTACTGACTGTATGAGGCTATTACTCATCTTCTGGATACCACAAGAGGTGTCCACACCTCTTGTCACTTTGTACATCAACCCCCATAATATTCATTTACCACTACGCTAAGGGCTTCCTGATTGTAGGGCAACCCTTTCCTCCATCAGTATATCAATGCTCTGTATAGGTCTGGTACATCTATCTAATGCATATTAGACTAGAGGTTCTTGCTTGGTATTATGACCATATGTATTCCCCCAAACCCACACTGACTCAGGTACTGTTTCATCAAAATTAGTATGGCTGACTCCAAAAGGCCTGTAAGAAGTGGATCATCACATGATGCAGGAGCCAACCTTGCAAAGTAATTTCATAGTAGTTCCCCTTGATCACCAATTGCTAAGCCTACACTCAAACTCCTTATTTCAGTCTAGCCAGTGTACTCAAATAGTCCCATACGTCTTTCCTATACAACAGCACCTCAAGTTTCCATGACATAAAAATTTACTTGTCTTTGAATGCCTCCAAAGAATCCCATTCCCTTGGGGGTATTCAAAGTTAAAGGCTAGCTAATCTGATAATGTTTCAGTGTTAATTATCAAAAGTAAGGAGCCCTGGTGTGGTACAGCAGGATAACCCACTGGACAGCAAGGTTGGTTAGAACCACCAGGTGAGCAGTTCAAACTCACCAGCCACTCCCTTGGAAACCCTTTAAAGGGTTGCTATGAGTCGAAACTCACTCTACGGCACTTAACAACAACAACAATCATAAGTCAAATTTAAAAAGGACTTTATAGAAGAATATTGCAAGCACACACACACACAAATTCTGACACGAATTTTAGGATCAGCAAAAGATATTTTGAGGTTTGATTTCAGAGTTGTTAAGAAGCATATATATCAAGCTCTCAAGGAAGTGAACTCTGGCACACATAATCTGGTAACAAAAACTGGCTATAGTTCTGTGGAAAAAAAAGTCAGAATGTTTCTAGATGGGGTTTCAAATTCCCTTCACTTATTCATCTATTTAAGGAGCTTTGGTAGCATAGTGGTTACGAGTCAGGTTGCCAGCTTCAAGGTTAGCAGTTCGAAACTACCAGCCATTTCACAAGAGAAAGATGAGGCTTTCTGCTCCTGTAAAGATTTACAGCCTCGGAAACCCTATGCAGGGTTGCTATGAGTCAGAACAAACTTCACAGCACACCATCACCACCACCATTCAACTATTTATTGTGGTCTTTCCTTAGTCTTAATCAATATTCCATGTTATGCCTTTTAGGAGACAGCACCACTGTCTAAAGTCTGAATTCCAAACTTTTGAACTTGATGAACTAATTAAAAAAATAATTTCTCAACCAACTACAAGTTGTCAAAATTTGATATTATCAAGTAAGGTCTGCTATGAAATAAACCACCTAGAATCATCATCCTTTCTTGAAAGACACAGTATTTTAATACTAAAATATTAGGAAAGTAATCATCTCAAAATAAAGGATAGTTCTTTAAATAAAATCTATTTAACTTGAATAAAAATTCTGTGAACTATCCTATTGTTTCCCCCTTTCTGTTACAAATCAGTCTAAGATTGACGTTGATATCTTCAGTCACAAGACCTACTGTTTTGGGATTTTCACCTTAGCCAAGAGTGGCCTCGATAACTTAATCCAAGGCATTATTGTATATTTTTCCTTACCTTGAACAAGTAAGAGAAGTGGCCTAGAGAAGTGCTTCTCAATGTATAGTCCCCAAAGTAGCAATATTCGCAGTAACAGGGAACTTTCCAGAAATGCAAATTCTTAGGTACTATCCCAGACTGGTGTGGTGACAGCAAGGATGGTTTGAACTGCTTTTGAACTGCAAGTTCAGCGGTTCAAACTCACCACCTACTCCTCCTTGGAAACAATTAGATGGTACTCAACAACAACAATCTCAGACTGAAAGGGGCCTGGTGGCGCAGACTGGGTTGCTAACTGAAAGGTCTGTGGTTTGAACCCACCAGTCACTCCATGGGATAAAGATGTGACAGTCTGCTTCTGGAAAGCTTTACAGCCTTGGAACCTCTGTGGAGTGCTTCTCTGTCCTTTAGGGTCAATGTGAGTAGGAACTGACTCCATGACAACAGGTTTGAATTTCTAAATTCGGACTTACAGAATCAGAAACTAAGGGGGTGGTGGTGGCAGTTATATGTGTGTGTATAAACTTGTTTTAATGAGAACACCCATTTACAGAATAGTTTGAGAATACTAGCTCAGAAAGTACAAGTTTGACTTAACAACAGAGTTGAAAAGCCTGTGTTCAGTTTCTGTCTCTCACTAACTCCACAACTGTAAGTGAGTCACAACTTGTTCATGTTCTAATTGCTCTATCTATATAACAGATAAAATCAATTTCCTACTTCACAAGGAGGTTTTGAAAATAAGTATGTGAAAGCTCTTCAAGTTCCTCAGAGATAAGTCAATATGGCATTATCCATCCATGGCTGTGATAATAATAATAATCTTCTTCCTGTTTTTATCAAGCTACTCCAACCTGTCTGTCATACTCACAATGAATTCTAAGCCTGTTTTTCAAGGTTCTAGTCACCCCGCCCAACTTGGTAGTTTTGGCCATTTAACAAGACTTAAAAAAAAAATTCCTCCATTCAATCAGTAACAAGAACTTTAAGAACTTTAAGTAGTACTGGTATCATTTTTCCTGAAAAAAAAAAAAATTACATTAAATATTGGCCATTTTCACTAGTTCTGAAACAGGCATTAGTCTACCTTTCTTTCTTTTCTTGAAAATTCCTTTCAGAAACTATGTGTGTATGTACAGAATATAGACCTAAACAGGACATGCAGGCAAGTACAAAAATCCACTAACACATACAATTTACTGATTACTTTCTTTCTTCTACTATTTATTAAGAATAGCATCCTTAACTCTCCCATGATAAGGCCTGATTTTATCAGAGCAATTTAAATCATATCATCTGCTGTTCACCATGAAGGTTCTATGTTAGACACTGAATCAAAAATACACAATCATCCTTTATGCTGAAGAAAGGCACTGCTGGTTTTAAGTGGGTTAAACAAAGTTTCCATTTGCAGAATTTGCCTTGCCCCTTTCAGCAAGTGGCACAGACAATTCCATGCAGGTCAAACATACTGTTTTACCTATCCAGTCCTCCAACCATACACAGTTTTTCAGAAACCTGTTACAGGAAAATATACACGAATGGCCTCACACTTGTATCTAATTTCAGTGACATTTGACTTCAACCTGTCTTCATTAATTTTCATTTTCAAAACAGTCCCCCATATTGAGGACATTTTCAAATAGATGAGATACGGAGAATTCTCTTTCAGACCAAATTAATATTGTGCTACTGTTGCTGCTGTTAAGTGCTGTGGAGTCAGCTTCAACTCATAGCAACTCTGTAAAGGGTTTCTGAGGCTTTAAATCTTTGCTGGAGCAGAAAGCCTCATCTTTCTCCTGTGGAATGGCTGGTGGGTTCAAACCACTGACCTTTTAGCTTGCAGTCCAAAGTTTATCCTGTGAAGCCAATGTGCTCCCCAATATTGACTAGTTATCCAATAAGCTAACCATCCAAAACACACCACAAAACAACACAACAGAAGCCTGAAGACTCACCAATGACAGGATTGCTATTCCTGTGAGCCGGTTTAGGAGGAGGAACAGGGGGCTGCTTAGCAGGGACTGAATGGGCCAGGCTTGGGGTAGCAGTAGTGTTAGTGCTGGTAGGAACAGCAGACAGAGTCCTGGGTGCTGGAGAAGGGGTGGCAGAGGGAGTCACAGTCTTTGCTAGGTTTATGGCAGTAGTGGTGGCAGCAGCTGTGGTGGTGGAGGCAGAGGTGGAGGAAGAGAAGGGTCTTGTCACACTGCTGGAGGAAGCGGCATCCTTTGCTTGCCTTTCATTTGCTTCATGAGAAGAGGACAGGGGTCGTTTGGGGGGAAGTAAAGGTTGTTTGGGTATGCTCTCAGGAACAGAGTCTGCTTCAGAATGAGGTTGGCTTCCAGTTGAGCCTGTGTAAAAACAGATGTGATTTTAAAAGAGAGAGAGATCAAAAAGACTGAAGAAGCTAGTGTATCTAGAGACTTATTTTCAGCCTCACCAATTATTCAATTTGTAGATTAGTTCCAAGTTTCTACCCTCAATGCACTTTTGGAATATCTGACCCTTTTCTAATCAGTAAGAGGTTCACTGTAGTAGTACTTCTTCATATAAGAGCCTACTGAGTAGGTACATCAGAGTCTCTTATTTAGAGGAAGAGGTATGTATAGCCTGAAAAAGTCCTATAGGTATCTGATATTTGACATCCTCTTATTTCCCTGAGACTCACAAATGAGTTGAGCAGTCGCTAGTAGAAAACATAATTCCTTCTAATTTTATTTTTCTTTCTTCTCTTGAAAACTCCTCAGGTAAATGAGAGTGATTGTTACATGGCTCTTAAACTCAAAATCCAAAGTTTCTTACCTAGTCGTTTCTTTGAGTCCTCTTCTGGAGTAGGCTTCCTAAGACTTGCTATTCGTCCGGGCTCTTCTTCTACTTGGATGGCACTAGCAGATGTGGCAACTCCAATGGGGGTGGTATGGCCATTCTTTAGCATGGCATGGTTCAACTTCCCTGAATCCTCACTGCCTGGAAGGTCCAAAAGACAAGACTAAATGGAAGGAACTGGTTTATCATACAGGAAGAAAAGCTGGTGATCTTGAATTTCATTCATTCCTTGATGTTGCGTCTGAATTATTTGGATTAATTTAATTTAATAATCTCTCTCTCTTCAATAAACATTTGATTTCCTATCATATACCAAGTGTTTTGCTGTTGCTGTTGTTAAGTGCCATTGAGTCAGTTCTCACTCACAGTGACCCTGTATAGGGTTTCTGAGGAGCAGCTGGTGGGTCTGAACCACCAACCATGCAATTCAAATCGACCTTGCGGTCCAGTGCTTTATCCTACTTACAGTGCCACACCTAGATGAGTAAGATATATTTATAATATAAAAATAACTATAATATACAAGTAATTATAATACACAAGTAATTACAGTGTTAAATGTCCCTAAAATAGAGCTATAATGTATAGAGAACTGGTAGGAATAAAGAAGAAGCAATTCTCCTTGGGGTGAGAGTGCAGTTAGAAAAAGTGAATTCACAGGATGATATCTGGGGTCTTGAATGTCATCACATTGATGACAATATGAAAAGACAGTCTAGAAAGAAGGAATAGCATATGTAAAGTATGTAACTATTTGACATATTTGGGGGTTGGTAATTATGGTGCAAATTTCTGGTGTAGCACTGTAGGATCAGCACTGGGTTGTGAACCACAAGATGGGCAGTTCAAACCCGTTCCTTGGGAACCCTGCACAGCATCGCTATGAGTCGGAATTGATTCGATGGCACTTAATAACAACGACAATTATGGTGTGGTGCTGTAGGATAAGTACTGGATCACAAAGTCAGTTTGAACCACAAGGTCAGTGATTCAAACTCACCAGCTGCTCCTTGTAAACTCTAAACAGGGTTGCTATGAGTCAAAACTGACTTGAAAGCACTTAAGAACAACAATTATTCTGACAGGAGAATAGGGTGCACATAAGAAATAGTTATGGATGGGGCTGGAAAGGCAGGCAAAAGGTCAGGCTATAAAGGAGCCTGGACTGAATCTTGTAGGTAACAGGAAGTCATCAAAGATTTATAAGTAGGAGACAGACTTGATCTGATTCATCTTTTTGACAGGTTAACCCTGAGAGGTAGGAGGAAGATGGATTATAAAGGAAAACCAATAATGAGCTAAGTTTAGAATGTAGGTGAGAAATAAGAGAGGTTGATTCATAGTCATCAAGTTGATTCCGACTCATAGTGACCCTGTGAAGGGTTTCTGAGGCTGTAAATCTTTATAGGAACAGAAAGTCTCCTCTTTCTACCATGGAGTGGCTGGTGGATTCAAACTGCTGAACTTTTGGTTAGTAACCATCACATAACACACTATGCCATGTAGGCTCTAGTTTCTTATTTTAAAAAAGGGGTGGGGCAAGATGACAACAATTATACCACAGAAGCAGGTACTGCTTATATTAACATAGTTCAGCTTCAATGAAAAACAGACTTTCTAGACTAAACAAAGAATGCTAATTTTAGTAACCAAATAGTGATAGTTTAAGATATATTATTAAACAGTTTCTACTCAGCTCATACTGGTACAATACATGCAAAAGTGATCTGTTATATTTCAAGTTACTTAATCAAGAATGTCTATTTTGAAGTATCATTTTTAATGCAAATACTTTCTGCAATGCTAGCAGTGAAGTAGAAATATTGCCTGGCTTCAGTGTCTATGAATGCCCCCAACACCTCAGAAAATCCATTAAGTATTTTATAATATAGTCAAGTTAGAACCATAACTAAGCTAAGTGTCATATTTGAACATAAAGAGGAGCTAATCACTGCTTTTAGTCCTTAATGGGAGACATGAATTTATAAATAAGGCATCCAAGGCCCATCCCTTGATGTAGAAAAAAATTCAGGTCAATTCTCTGGTGCCAGAGGGTCATCCTGTTCAATGGCTGCAGCTCATTTATCAATTAAGCCTTTGAATCTTGCAAACTAAAAACAACTTGGTTCAAGAGCAGGGCAAAAGAAACTGAGCAAAGTGGAAAAAATAAAATCGTAGTGTGGGGGACTTGTGACAATGAGCAAGAAAAGTGAGAGACAGGAAAGGGCATGGAGATAGGAATGGTTACATGAACAAAGCAAGAGACAAATGGTTACAATGTTTTCTACATATATTTCACAATTAAAAGTGGGGTGCAAAATGTTTTAATGGAGAAATTATAATTGTACTTAACCACCTAACTATGTAGATTTTATGTCCTACTGTAAAGGGGAGTCATGGATAACTTGATATTAAGAAAATGCCCTAATCACATTCCTGTCCCAACCTCCAGAGGCAGTCAGTGCTAATAACATTCTAATATTTGTCCTTTCAACATGTTTCTCAGCTTAGTTATAATCTGTTGTTGTTAAGTAATATGAAGTTAGTTCTGATTCATAACGGCCCTTATCAAGGGTTTCTAGGGAGCGGCTGGTAGGTTTGCACTGCTGACCTTAAGAAGTTCAATGCTTATCCTAACAGTGCCACACCAGGACTCCTAGTATTAATATAGCTATACACTATTTAATTTTATGAACAGGCAATGCATTCACAAGATTCAAAACCCCCAAAATACCATACTCTATCTGTTTGGTTACTTTTGTCCATTCTCCAAAAGAGAATGAAGAGACATGCAATGCAACCAACGTCTTATCTTAGGATAAGCTGCTTCATAAGAGTTACACAGTGGAGAAAGTCTTGGCAATATTAAATCAGCAAAATATGATCTTTATGATAGACAAGTAAAAGACCCACAGTGCTGTAGCTGGCTCGATGCTAAGGATGTACAGAGGGACAGGAATGTTTACCCAGTGATCCTTTACCAAGTACTCAATTTCAGAGTAGAAGACCACAGCCAGATAAAGTAGACACTTGGAGGAAAGGGTGAACAGAAATTAAAAAAAAAAAAAGATGGATTGTCCTTCACAACAGCAACAAGAACAAAAGCAGGGGGAAAAAAGGCAAAGAAAGAAGTTTTGAACATCTAGTCAGAATTGCTTAAAGACAACAGAGACAGGCACGAGCTGTTCATTTGCAAACTCACCCTCCTCAGGGTCCTCCAACAGAACCCCTCTTTTAATCAGCTCTTCTTTCGGTTTTCGCATAGATATCTTTCGCTCTAGAACTAACATCAAATTGGAAAATAGCACTAAGAAATTTGGCAGGTAAAGGTTGGCTTTACTCTTAGCACTCTAACACTATAAGTAAAAAAATAAATTGGTTCAAATTTCTATGATTCAGACAGAAAAGAACAGGGAAATGAATTTCAAATTTAAAAACAATTTCTCTCATATTCTGCACTATTGGGAAAGTATTATTTCCAAAAGGGGTATCTTTGTATAATTGGAAGCTTTTTCTTTTTAAATGTAAATAATAAGGATTTATGAATGAACTGTATGTGCATGGCAAATGAACAAAGTAGAAAAGTAGCATTTTCAATTTGCTACAGTTTAGAACTACGTTTGCCACTTCACAGACAAACTTCAAGCCCATCAAAACACCAACCTGGGAGTGAGAATACACTATACAAGACTTAGTCAGTGACTACTTGGTTGTTCAATTTTAAAAGATTAATTCTGTTTTCAAATAGGGGGTTATAGCAATTTGGGAAGAGAATGAAAACGTTAGGCACTTCAATAGGGAACTCCTTAACTTAGAACATATTTAAATCTTAATATTTTACCTTCTGATGTCTCTTTAAATTTATCACTACTTTTTTTTTTCCGCCACTTCCAGGGTTTGAAGATCTTGCCGAAGCCTGAGAACTTGCTCTTCCTTTTGGTGGGAGGTGTAGTGTCTCCGGCTTCCACACTGTCCATGACCATGCCTGAGTCTGCAGTGAGCTGGCCTGCTTCTTCTATTACATGGTGAGAAGGAGAGAGGGAAGAGAAGAGCCAGTTTATTATTTCAGCAACATCTCTAAAATGTCCCTTCCCCTCTTCCTGTGGTGGTTGGAAAGGATCAGAGCAATGATACACAATCATGCAGACAGTTGGACTCCTTGACATCGAATGGACATCAAACATCAATATCCCTAATAGGTCAATTACTAGGGAAGAAAAGGAACCAAACCAAATGGATAGAATTTTGTAATAAAACTTCAGTGAGATGATTAGAAGCAACTCAATATCTTTTAAGAGCACTAGAAACAATGGGTGTCTTCTTCAATGTAGCCTGTTATGGTTGCCATTCTCAAACCTCTTGGTATGGGGGAAGGTTTTTCCTTCCTATGTCCTTGTGTCATTAAAGCAGGGAATTCTAAGGAAGTCATTGTTGTTGTTGTTAAGTGCTGTTGAGTGGGTTCCAACACATAGCAACCCTGTACAGGGTTTCCGAGTGAGATTACACTATACAAGATTTAGTGAGTGACCACTTGGTTGACCACAAGGCTGTACATCTTTGCGGGAGAAGAAAACCTCATCTTTCTCCTGAGTAGTAGGTGGGCTTGAACTTCCAACCTGTGGTTCACAGTCCAGAGCAGCTTTGCTACCTTCTCCGATGTCAAATGATAGCATATGAAATGAGAGGCACGGATCCATGTTCTTTACACTATTCCTCTTATAAGAGACTGGGCCATATACATAATAGATATCCAGTCATTATTGTGATGACAAAATAAAAATGAAACTAGAGCTTCAATTAGTATTTTAAAACCAGAATGACCTGAATCTACTCTCAGTAAAGAGAATGGTCCCCGAGTCTACTTAATTTCTTTGAGCAAGTTGATTCTATCAAGTAGGAAACTTGGTATCTCATGTACTATGAAAGCAAGTATGAAAGTTTGTTCCATGTCCCATGGGGCTCTGGTGAATGTGGTAATAGTAGGGACTCACTTTAGAGTGAATCCCAAAGGTTCTATTACTCCTTATGAGTTATTATGATAAACCTAAGCTGGAGTACAAAATGAAGAGTAATAACTTCACTCTTATCTGCTTCCTGGACTTGAGTGGGTAAGCAATACAGAAAGATTTGTGATTATCTTACAACAATATGAATAAAGATTTCAAAGAATCTAACGAGCAGGGTTCTCATTTTCACCAAACTGAAATTGTAAGAGAATTATCAGCAGATGTGTACTATCCAGGAGGAAGAAGGAGAAAGGGGGAAAGATGGAACCAGTTATTAGGGAAGTAGGGCTATGGAACTCTTAATAAATCCAGAGAAGACACAGCATAATTTAGGGGAAGTAGTATTCAGTACAACTATGACACAGTCAGGACAAATTCATTAATATCTGAACTTCATTTTACCATTTAGAATAGGAACAAGAACATTCACTTGATTTTCAGATCAGATGTTTTAGGTTTTGTATATTGCTTACTTATCTGGTTATCTTCCTAAATTTACTGCAGATTTCCCAGAATAAACATCCTTGTTAGGTATTAATGATTAAAAAAAATTAATTATAAGAACTAAATTTTTAAAAAGGAAAGAAAAATGTATTTTCTAGAAATGTTTAGGGTATTTTAAAAAAATATATGGTCTCAAATAAATCTATTTGAGTGGATTTCTCTAAAACCTGTATCCTAAAACTATAATCCTGTAATCTCTATTAATTTGCCAAAATAGATTAGCATGAGGGGCTGGATGAAAAGGCATGCAAACAAGTATCAAAACTTTTATAGTGCCACATCAGGACTCCTAAATAGCTATTAAAACACCTGAAATTAAGGCTATTAGAAGCATGAATATAGAAAATGCACTCCAAAAATTTAAGAAATTCCATATGCTACAAGATTTAAGAGACAGCATACAGGCACTAGAAACATCTTGGAGAAGAAAAAAACTGAAAAAATACCTTAATAGTATGTACAAGTCTATGTATACACAGTAGTATATATGTGCTTATTTCCAAACATGATCAAAAAAGCAAAATGTAGCAATGGTTTAGGAGCCCTGGATGTAAACCAAAAGGTCAGTGTGGTTGTAACCCACCAGGTACTGCACAGGAGAAAAATAGGGCAGTCTGCTTCCATAAAGATGTACAATCTTAGAAATCTTCTAGGGCAGCTCTACTCTGTCCTATGGGGTTGCTATGAGTTGGAATGGACTCAATGGCAATGGTTTGGTTTGGTCTTTGTTAAGCAATCCCTTCTCCCTGATCTCCTCTTTCAGGATATAAACAGTTCCAGGAGGGGTAGTACATGAAATGTTAGCACCTTACTTACATCTGTTTATTATTTTATTTCCTTCACAAAAAGGACCCTAGATAGTCTTGGGGCACTGGTATATGCTTGGAGAAGGGGCTGGAGTGTTTTACAATAGAGAGGTATTTTTTGCAGAAAGAAGAGGTGACATTTCAAAGTTTTGTCAGTCATACTATTGTATTAGGGATAATCCTGATGGCGGTGACAAAAACAACAACAACAACAAAACGTAGCTGACACAATAAATTTGCAGGGTTGAAATGAAAGGAGGCCACCAGCCCCTCATTATGACCATACATGCAGGGCTTGGTTAGTTAGCTTTAATGTCAGAGAAAGGAGCAGCCAAGGGAAGGAGGAAAAAAAAGGCAGGAAGGCAACAACAAAAAAAAGCAGGAAGACAATACAATACAGTTTTACACCCCACCTACTGTCCCAAGGTTTTCTGGAGAAGTCTAGAGGGGAAGAAAAAAAGAGTCATGTGGCGTAACAGTGGGACTTCTACTTTAAAGAAATACATCAAGAAACACATACTATATTATAGCATGTGATAAGTTAACATATTTAATGTAAACAATTTCATATTTAAATAAACATTTTTTTTGAGAGGTAAAGGGTACAAGTCATGCATTAAAAACTCTTCTTTTAATGCTGCAGACGTTTTTCATAAGAGAAAACACATAATATACTGATATTTTTTAGAAACAGTTACCAAATTCAATCCCTTTTTAGATTAAGAAAGTCTGAAATTTGTTGGATTTACACAAACCATAATTATCCGAGTGATGCATTACTTTGCTGTGCCCAGAAGAGAAAATAGGATCCTGGTTACTATAGTACAACACAGTGAGAGGACAGGGGAACAAGTCTTTTCATCCTAGTTGTACCGCTTACTGAGGGCAATCCCTAGCTCAACTCTTTTGTTTCTTTTAAATGAAATGCTCTAGTATCTGATTATAACATTGGACCATATTAAAAACGCTTACTTGTCAGGGACACTACAAGAAACCCTGTCATAACAATGTCTTCAATGATTGCCCTAGGGTGAATACCTGTTGTTGTTGTTGTTAAGTGCCGTCGAGTCGGTTCCGAGCCATAGCGACCCTGTACAGGGTTTCCGAGGGTGTAAATCCTTACGGGAGTAGAAAGCCTGATCTTTCTCCCGCGGAACGCCTGGTAGTTTCGAGCCGCTGACCTTAAGGTTCGCAGCCCGATTCGTAACCACTACGCTACCAGAGCTCCTTAGGGTGAATACCTAGTATTGATTTTAAGAGTCAGGACTTTAATTAGGACAGACAGTGTTCTCTTGAGTATGGACTGTCACTAAGAACTAAAGACATTTCTGAGCATTCATAATCTAATATTTAGCATATACTAATGACTGCTTTCAAAGACAAGTTATCTCAGGAATGAAGCTGTTAATTCTCAAATAGTAGCCTTGTAGAGGTAGGGAAGGACTGAAACTTGAAATCTCCTGCTAACCTACCATTGAGCGAACCTCACTAAATACCAAAAGACACATAGGAAAATGCCTGTTTGGTTAAAAATAAGGACGATAATATGCAAATTTAAAAAATCCCACAAACATAATATGAAAGAAGAGGTTACTAGTGCTATGTGATAGTTTTCCATAGAAAAATGATCAATAAGTTTTAGAAATGTTAGAATGTAACACATTCACATTGAAGTTCCTATTTTTAAATGAATTACAGTCGAGTCATCCCATTTCCACATATCTTTTGCAGGATTTAGTTCACCCCTTTTAATCATTATAATACGTATAAGCTTTCATTAGAGTTAAACCTGAACAATATAATTTATGTGTCACCTTTCTATAGACTAAAACAGTATCATAGTATTCTTTCAAATATATTTATGCCTGCTAGCATATGAACTCAAAACAGATGTCTTAAAATTGCAATGTATATAGAAAATACCTATAATTTGTTACTTTGCCCATAGCAACATCTATTAATTAAATAATATTCTTTTTCTTTATGTAGAAAATTCTAGTCACAGAACACAAAAAACCAAAGAGAGCAGTTTTTTTTCTTTGCTGCTCCAAGTTTACAAAACTTTCAGATATGCTTCTTGCCTCATGCAATGGGTATCAGTTAAATCCAACAATAACTCAGTTTGGCCCTGGTGTGGCACTGTAGGATAAGCACTGGACTGCTAACAGTACAAACTGCAAGGTTAGCAGTTCAAATATACCAGCCACTTTTGGAAGCCCTATATAGGGTTGTAAGTCAGAACTGACTAGAGGGCATACAACAACAATGTACCAGTTATTATCATAAATTCATTCATATTCTCTATCCATTTCCCGTCATAACAAGTCCATATGCATGCATACATCTCCTGAGAAATAGAATATTCTTTCAGTGACTTCCAAATCTGTATAGTACTTGGATTCAGATCAGTTGCCTTTTCAAAATAAATCTCTTAAAGAGGTAAGATCTAAGAGTTTAAATTTTTTGAATAATTAAACATTTAAAAAATTTCCAAATTAATTCTTATGATTAGTCAAGTTTGTTACAGCCATTTGGAAGTTATTACCTGGAAATTTTTTATAGCATGCTAAAAGAGACAGACAAACCAGCTCTGGCTGTAAACGGTTTCTGTGTAAAGAAGAATAAACGAGGAAAATATTGCATCATTTTAGTGTTCTCTATTCAGCATGAGTATTCCCAGGGAAGAGTTGTTAAGAGGC